AAATGCATCTCTTACCTATTAGCCATTTTTGCAGCAGCAACCAGAGCTCCAAAGCTCCTTTGTTTTGAACGATTTTTTTTGTGGTGTGAAACTGAAATGAAATTGGCTGGGTTTATATAGGGGGGAGGCCACCTAACTCGCTGATGACTCAGGCGCCGCCACTCTAGTCTCGGGCGCGCCACCTGGGACAGTTTCCCACCTAACACGCTGGACTCACCGGCGCTGCCGCCTGAGTCTTCGGCGCCGCCGCTGTCACTTAATCCAAAATATCATCCAGAGCGGCGGCGCCTGAGTCCCAGGTGTTGTCGCCATTTTGTGTCTCCAAAACACAATATCTGTGTAAATACTTCTTAATCCGCCATATTGGTGATAAATTAAAAAAAAAAGAAGCAATATTTGTGTCCGTAAATGCCGAGGGAATACCGTGAGGCTAATAAAAGATACTTTATTTTCTTTTTTTATTTCAGTTTATATTTGAATAAAACGAAAACGATGAATATATTATAGAGATGGAAAGATATTTAATATGTTATATATTTTAAAGAGAGAGGAATTTAGCATATTAATAATTTCATACATTTTTATTAAGATTGTTATGTTTCGTTCTCATTAATACTATTATTTTTGAATTATGTAAATAATAAATTTATAAAATGTCTAAATTAAATAATATAATATCACTCTCTCGTCGCCCATTTTATTCAATTCTTCAGTAATGAGCGCTCTCGCTCTCGCTCTCACTCTCGCTCTCGCTCCAGCTCCGCGACTTTGTTACCTAAGGTGAGCGTGATTTAATTTGGGGAGGGATTATTGGGGAAGGATTCAGCGAGTGAGGAGATTTAATTTGAGCGCCCACTCAAAAATTGGAACTTTTCAATTTGGAGCAAAAAACAAAACCAGTATATTATGACGAACACGCATTTTATCAAGGTTGAAATCACTATATTATGACAAACATGCCCTTTTGTTAGCTCGTCGTAAGATTATTGCTATCTATTGTGACAAAATACTTTGTCATTAAACAATTGAGGAAGGCATAATATGACAAACGCTACTCTGACCACTATAATTTGTCACTTTTGTGTCTCTTACATCCCGATATGATATACCTATTATGATAAACTTAATTGTGACACGAAATATTTGTCACATTACTCACTTTAAATGACGACTTCTTCTGACAACAATTATTTTGTCACCTTAGGCATACCAAATAGGACATATACTATTTTTGTCATATTACGGTATCTGTTATGACAAACAAAAAATGACAAAATACAATTTTTGTCCTAATAGGCCGAATTTGTTGTAGTGTTATGATATGAGTTGTGATGGTTAGGCGTAGCTTTCCTATGTATGCATTGTTCACTCAATACACAAACTTAATAAAAATGTCCATTCCCCATTTTACTGGTGATTAGGTAACTAAGTTTTGTTGGAAATCATTACCAACTATAAAAATGGTTAATAATATAATGGATGGCGAAAGAGATATGAGATATCAACTGCTACTTCTCTCCCCATTTAGCGAGAAAGGCCAGCTAGATAACAAGCAACTAAAAGTTTTTTGTTCCCAGTTTGTTTGGATCTATCAAGATTCTAATAAAGCATGATGATTGTTTCTTACACTTATGTCATGTAAATGTAGAACAATTTTTTTAACAATTTTTAATTGGTTTTATGTTGTTTGACATCTATTGTGTACTTCATTGTTTTTCTTTCCTTTCGTTAGTTTTAAGGAAAGGAGTACAATAAAATGAACTATTATTAGGGGTCTACATGAATTGGGGTAGTTGGTTTAGAACCCTCTCAACCATGCAGCTTATATGCCTCAACTCAAGTGATGCACGACCCAAATCTAATTATAAGACACATAAATCCATGTGTTTCGAGTTATGCACGGGTCGAATTGGATTGATACGAAACATATCTATACATTAACCAAATAGGGCTGAACCTCGGTTCAGTTTAGATGTTAATCAAACCGAATTGGTTGGTTATCCAAAATTGAATTTTTGTCATTTCAGTAATTGTAATTGTTGTTGTTACGGTTACTTGAGAACCGAATAGTATGATTTTTGGTTATGTTGCGGTTAACTATGTTCAACCAATTAACCTATTTGTCATTCTTTTTGGTTTAGCTTACCTAATGGGGTAGGCCATTGGGCTTTGGGGTAGTTTAATTTTGCGATTATCTGAGGTTTTTGTTTTGCAATTTGGTGTGCAGCTACACCAAACACCAAAGATTACCTAACTGCAACTATTCTATCCCTTCATTTTATTGTTCTCGGTTAACTATTAATCGTAAAATTTGAATCCCACTTTGGTTAGCTTGCATGACTATAACCAAATACTCTCTGCGGCGTAGCCGCTGGTATTGATTCTAGTATGTATTAACTTATCCTTACTTTTTTTATAAAGGCGATATAAGTTGTTTTTTAGTTAGGTGCTACTTTAGATATCTAAATATGGGACATCCCGATTCAAACCCATACTTTTTTTTTATAATGGTTAAATAAGTTAATAAAAAAAATCCTTATAAGAGGCGAAAAAGAAAACAAGATTAGAAGCAAATGAACACTTCCAGCCACAGCAAAAGAAAGACAGGCAAAGTAGGCGCCCATACTTGTTCAAACAATACCTTCAAGATTATCAATCAACATAAAAAAAATTACACTATATGAAGAGTTTAAAGTATGATTGTTCGGTATGGTGCAAAATCGGTTTTCCACCAACCACATACGGATCATAATATCTACTAACTACTTTGTTTAGCAAAAACAAAGGACCAAAGCTAAACTCATGCGCAGAAGCACCATATCGTATTCCTTAAAATCTAGGTGTATTATTACTCAACACCGAATTACTACCTATTCAACTAAAGTGGTTTTGAACATAAACTAAACTAAGCTAAAGGAAGAAATAAAGAAAACTAAATTAGGGGGAAATCACAAGAGAAGAGAAGTTTCTTATGGTGAATTCCCTTAGAGTTGGGATTAGATGCAATTGAAGAATGAATTGATTTGTAAACCTAAAGTTGATAGTGTGGAGATTCCTAGGGCCAATTACAATTCATCACCAATGTAATTGTAATTCTTTCGATTGGGCTATTTAAGTACACTTTTATTCAACATAAACTACCAATTCACTCTCCTCTCTCTTCTTCACATGTAGATAAGTCTACATGTCTTGTTCGGTCAAAACATCCCCATCAATGGTTCATATTTTGGATCCTTAATTAGGTGTTGGGACTTGGGGCTATTGGTGCTTAAGATTCTTGTCTAGGCCGTCCACTGGCCATCTCTAAGTCAAAGAAAGATAATTTTCATTTCATTGAGGAGAGACTCGTTAAGTGGCTTCAAGGTTGGAAGCAATAGACCCTCTCTAGGGGTGTTAAGGATAACCTCATATGTATATCAACCACTAATATCCCGGTCCATTCAATGTCTTGCTTTAAATTCCCAAAGAAGACCTGCAGACATTTGAACAATCATGTGACGAGATTTTGGTAGGGATACACTAGGTCTCTTGGAAAAGTCTTACCCAAAGTAAATTTCATGGAGGACAAGATTTAAGAATTTCGGGGCTTTCAACCAAGTTTTGTTAGCTAAGCAATGTTGGAGAATATTGGAGCACCCAGAATCCATGCTAACCCAAAATTACAAGGGAAGTTACTTTATAAAGGGTTCATTATTGGATGGCACCCAAAATCAAACCCCTCACGCGGATGGCAAAGTCTCCCGTTCGAGAGGGATTTGCTTCTACTAGGCTTGCGATGACAAGTTGGTAATGGACAAGACATTGTAACTTCATTTGGTAATTGAGTGCCTTCTGTCAAACATAAGCCTCCAAACCAGCGAGCTCTTTCACCTGTTGACTCTCTTAGGGTCTCCAAATAGAGTGTGGCAGCACCCTAGTGGGAGAGTGCAACCCTTGTGAATTTGATGTACAATCTCCCCCAAAAGCATTCCAAGGTTCCCTTTTAAAATCTTGTTGTATGGTTGTTCAAGCTTTAGCATGACTCAATCAGAAGGTTAAAGCAAGACATCACATGAACTGGAAGGTTGGACGCTTAGACTTAGGTATGAATTCTAGTATCCTTAGTCGTCCCGGACTTCAGGCGTTCTTTCCTACGTTAAGAGTCTTTTAAGTATATTTTTCTAAACGAATTGGAAGGAAAGTTTTTATAAACTTGTCATAGTAGAAGGAAGACCAAGGTAGTGATCCTGCTCTCCTATTCACCCCTCCCCAGTTGAAAAGTCATATCTTTTTCACCCTGCGTTAAAATATTACGACTAAACATCACAACTGATTTGGCTATGTTCACACGTTTGGCACTTAAACCCTTATACATCTGAAAGAGTAACAATAAACATCGAGCACGATCCAGGAGAAGCCTCAGGAAAGAGATACTAGTTATTGAGAAAGAAAATGTATAACACCACAGAGCAAGCAACCCTTATTCGGATATGATCCAAGTACCCCGATTGGCACCATACATGGTAAGCATATTTGGTTATTGGTTATACTTTGATTTGATAGGGATTTCAACCCCTAGCTTAGTTTAATGAATAAAGATTGTGGTGCAATTTAAGTGCCCTATTTTCTGCCAAATGGAAAATATAATTACAACTAATTCATGCATTTTACCTATAATTCCTTGTAATGATCATTACTGGCTGAAATTTGATCGACCAAGATTGAAAATTATATACCATACAACTTTTTATTTTGAGGAAAATCCATTGAACATAATGACATTGTGAAGTTATACACCCAATAGTATAGCATACGCATCCCTACTGAATCATGTTGGTCTATTGTAAGACCTACCGCAGAACATGGACAAGTCGCAAGTTCGTATGAAATTCAATCAAATACAACTCAACTATTCAAACAATGCATTCGGAGGTCATTTCACAGATATTCACCACTAAAATAATCAAACTCGACCCCAAATAAGTATATTCCTTAACTGATTCTATCATTCTATAACCAAAACAAATCGGTGAAAAGATTCACTCACGAGAGAACTGGCCACCTATAAACACGAAACGCAAGCGACAAAGTATGAGCGTCAGAAGCCAGTTTTGAGGCTCCGTCAGTATCTCCGAGTACAATGAATGCACTGATGCATCACAACGAGAGATAAGACAAGTACCCAGATTTGAGTTGTTGCATCCTAGCGAACTGAAGATCCTGCTCCTGCCCAAATTTCAGTACCATGTAATGTGAACAATTTAGCAAGTCCAGTGTCCATTCATGAACCCGAAACTAGACAGTAATTACCTGTCCAACGTTCAACGAGCTCTCTCTGGGGATATTAAACAACACACTGTTCTCCCTGGAGAGTTTCCTAAGCAAAGCATACACATAATCAATGGCTATTCTCTTACACCAAGGAGAATCCTCCCTCGCAGCCACCAACGTATTCCCTAGTATGTGCACCACCCCTGCATCCCTGCAACTCCTCAGCAGCTCCAACTCCTGCTCAGCTTCCAGGTTCCTGCTCCTCCCAGGAGATGCCGGTACTGTTCCAACTGAAACCGGCACCACTACGTCCTCATCATCAGCATCATTTTCATCCAAGCTGAATTCGTCATCTATATCCGAGTAGCAGTCCATGTCCATTAACGAATCAAGCCTCACGTGTCTATAGATGCTCTCGAAAAGCCTGCTCTCGAAGTCGTCGTCTTTCTTGTGGAGGTCCTTGTAACCATATCTTGCCACGCAGCGGAACATGTGGAAGTCCTTGGGCCCGATTCTCCTGACAAGGAATCTCTCCTCTTGTGGGACTGTGCAGACTGGGAGGTACTTGATGCAGATGAAGATGACGACAGAGTGGATAGCTGGCAAGTTGGTGATGAAGTGTGAGAAGATATGTGGGACACCACTCACGAGCTTCGTGTACACCAGACCTATGCCTGGGACTCGAACAAGTCCCAGGCTGGGTCCCAACCCGACCAACCACGCCATCGAGACTTTACCATGCATCTCGAACTCGTAGCATTTTTGTCTCCCATAGTGCCACCCGTACATTGTAATGAAACAGCATGCTGAAATGGCTAGGGGAACCCAACCACCTTCATTGAATTTGAGGATTATGGAGGAGAAGTAAGTTCCTTCTACGAGGAAGAAGAAAGCAGCAAAGATGAGAACAAATACCCAATGGCATCTCCACACTAGTATCATGATCAGGGTTACCAGAAATGTGGTGACTAGGGTGACTACCACTACTGCAGTGCCTGTTAAAAAAAAGAGACATTTTGAGGGGGTTCAGAAAACAATGTGGATAGAAAGCAAGGATAAGAGAATCGGAGAGTTCGTACAGCATATGTTTGTTTCTACCTGATGCATTGCCAATGTGGATCTGGTTCTTGAAACCAACTGTCACGGCAATGCAGAGGACCATGAGGATCCAGTTGACCTCTGGTATGTAGATTTCCGTACTTGACTTCTTCGATGTGTGCACAATTTTAACTCTTGGAAAGCAATCCAGGGCTAAAGCTTGCTTGACCAATGAGAAGGTTGCTGATATGGTGGTCTGGCAAGCAACAATAGCAGCAGCAGTTGCAACAACCATCATAGCCCAGTATAGGTTATCTAGAACATCATCGTAAAATGACAAGGGAAAAACAATAACTACACCGAATCCATGAAAAAGCTTGCATGCCAAATACAGTAACCGCTAAGCATTTACTACTAGCAACTAACATACTATGACTAGCAGATGCTTCTGGTTGGTTCCATCAAGGTAACCACTAAAGATGCATAGTTGGTATATAACAGCTAGGACAAACCTGGAATTGAGCTATAAAATGCATCATTCACACGATCTGAGTGTTCCATAAGATAGGCTGCCTGGCCCAAATAGGATAAAATAAGACAAGGCAATACGACCAGAAAGAAGGCGATTTGGATTGCTGCAACCGAGAAATTGGAGATATCAGCAAATAGAGCTTCTGATCCTGCAAATGTGGTTCATGACTCGGACATTAGATGAGCAGAGATCTCGGAGCAACTCAATGGAATAAAACTGACTACTAGTCAGTTTTATTTTTAACACAAATGGTCTTTACCCGCTATACTGAGCATGACACCTCCAAGAGATAGCCAAGCATCCTTGTGGTTCCCATTAAAAGCCCGATACATATATACAGGTGAAAAGGCTTTGAGAGCTCGGCTACCATACTTCAGAATGTTGAATATGCCAATTCCTCCAATTGAGATAAACCAAATCAGTATAATTGGAGCAAACAACCAGCTGATTTTCTCCGTCCCAAAGCGTTGCAACCAGAACAAAGCTATGAATATGACAACCGCGACTCCCATTGCAACTTCTGTAGGGTAGGAAACGAAACCCAAGACTTTATATTAGGTAAATTCTTAAAAGTGGATGGCAATAGGCAAGGAGTAGCTTGATAAGTAAGAAGGATACCCTGACTCATCTGAGGATGACTTAGCTTGATCCCGTTGAGAGCTGACACAACTGCAAGAATAACAAAAGAAGTTTTGCCTCTAATTATACAAGCTAAATCCGTATTTGAGTAGGATATCTATGTTCATTAAAAAAAAAGGGAGGATATCTATGAACAACATTTAAGAGTATAAACCTGAAATGCAAGGTATAATAACACCGTCCCCAATTAACATGGATGAGCCAATAATAACAAGAACAAGGAGTCCGTTCTTAGTATAAGAATGACTCTCCAGCCATCTCTTGGTCTTTGCCGCAAACGATTTTTCATGGACAGTAGAGGTACTATATGTTCTCAGCCGCTCATCCGTGTGATCTTGGTTGGATATAGTCCTTATTTTAGCATGTCTACAAAGCAGTGAATAAAGAGCAAAAGTTCCACCTACAACCCACCAAAGAAGATCAACAAAAAGAGTAAGCTCAAAGTATTAGTTATAACTTCAATTAGCACCGGAGAGACTGGTTTAGTTCATGGAAGCCCAAGCATGGGGAAAAGCGGGCCTCACCTTGACCATTGTCAGTGGCTCTAGAGACAATAAAGAGATATTTCACCAAAGGAATTAGAGCAAGAGAGTAGATAATGAATGACAGTGCACCGACCACATCCTCTGGATCCTTGATTCCATCAGGGAATATGTTGTAGAAAACATACAAGGGTGATGTGCCTAAATCTCCATAAACAATACCAAGACTTTGGAATGCCAACAGCACCAAACTGGAAGGTTTCTGCAACAATAAATTAGAAAACCATATTAGCTATCAGCAGAAAGTCCGCAGTAAGAAGCCAAGAACTGCAATAGAAGTGAGAAACAAAAAAAGAGAAATGGGTTGTAACTTACACGATGATGCACTTGTTCATCAATCTGGCTTCTGACGCATTCGGCTTCGATGTCCATGGGCTGATCGAACTGTTGATCAAGAGCCCACAACCGGCCATTTTCGTTGGCTTCATTCTTCTCGCCCTTTGCAGTCATTATCTCGTCAAACAAATTTCTCCAATACAGCAGGCATCAATCAATCTCTCATTTCATGTCTTCTCAGTCACGATCGAACCCCACATTCTCGATACTTGTCCCGACGTATTTCGCAAGACTGGAAGTAAAGATCCAGACTTTACTCCATGAAGCAGATAGTAAAATGGAGAAAGAAACCAAGTTACCTGAATGGCTTTGTGTTTCTGAAACCCTCGATCGATGGGCATCGTTGGAGCGGAGTGAGACATCAAGGAGAAAAAGTGAACACCCAGAAATATCAGAGCCTAATGAGAGACGATCAATAAATTGCTATATTTGGAATCAGAAACAGAATTTGACTGCCCAAACTAAAAATGGCGAAAAAATGGAAAAGCCGTTTCACCAAAAATGTACAGAGGAAGGCAACTGGGTATGGACTATGGAGTTTAGAAGGCTCGACTTGGTGAGCCTATGCCATTGCTGTGAGCCTGTGACCAATTGGGTAGCAAAGAACCACCATTCGACACGCCGGCAGCGTCACAGATCCTGATACTGCGATAGAGATGACAATGAGAGAGTGGGCCATTTCCCGCTTTTTTTTCAAACAATCACCCGACTAACAACGGGAACGAAGCACAGCACAAGATTTCTTCTTAATTACACATAGAAGACCTGTCCAACGTTCAACAGGCTCTCATGGGGGACATTAAAAATCACACTATGCTCTCTACAAATCTTCCTAAGGAACGCGTATATGTAATCCACCGCAATCTTCTTGTAGAACCTCGACTCCCTCCGCGCTCTCACCACCGTGTTCCCCATTATATGTACAACTCCCGCGTCCTGACAGCTACGCAAGAACTCCACCTCGTCAACCTCCGTCTGGCTGCTCGCCTGCCCCGAAGATCCCACCGTCGTCGTCACCTTCACCGGCACGATCGAATCTATGGAAGACAGCGTCGTATCCACCACCGACCCAACCGTGTTCCCGTTCTCGTTCAACAGTCCATCCCTTGAATGTTGTGTTTGCTGTCCGTACAAGCTGTACTCGTCGGAATCCGAACACCCGTCCATCATGGACTCGAGCCGGACGAAGAGGAAGAGACTGTCGAACAGCTTCTTCTCAAAGTCGTCATCTTTCTTGTGAAGGTCCTTGTATCCGTACCTGGCCACGCACCTAAACATTCTGAAGTTCTTGGGGCCGATCCTTTTTACCAGAAACCGCTCCTCTTCAGGTACCGTGTACACGGGGAGATACTTGACGCACACGAAAACCACGACGGAGTGGATGGCGGGAAGATTGGTGATGAAATGGGAGAAGATGTGCGGGACGCCACTGGCAAGCTCAGTGTAGACCAGGCCTATCCCGGGGACCCTCACGAGTCCCAGACTGGGGCCGAGGCCTACGATCCACGCCATCGAGACCTTACTGTGCATTTCGAACTCGTAGCGTTTGAGTGTGCCGTAGTGCCAGACGTACATGACGATGAGGAAAGCACCCGCGATGACGAGTGGGACCCAACCTCCCTGGTCGACCTTGAAGAGCACGGCCGAGAAGTAGGTGCATTCCACCACAAGGGATAGGCCGGTGAAGAGCACGACTAGGATCCAGTGGCAGCGCCACACAAGGATCATGATCAGGACCATCAGGAGGGTAGTCACCAGCATGACTATTACCACTGCCGTCCCTGTTGAGTAATGAAATCCAAAAGAAACTAAGGTGTGAAACTGATTGTCAGGTGAAGTTTAGTATAATGGACTATTAATTCATTGTGAACACTGACCATAAGCATTTCCGATTTGGCTTTGGTTCTTAAATCCAGCGGTGACGCAGATGCACAGAATCATAAGGATCCAATTGATATCGGGGACGTATATCTGTCCTAGGAAATTCTTGGAGGTATGCACCACTTTCACTCTTGGGAAGCAGCCGTGAGCGTGTGCCTGCTTGATTATTGAGAATGTCGCTGAGATTGTGGCCTGACTTGCAACCACAGCTGCTGCAGTAGCGATAAGAAACACTGGCCAGTATATGCTCTCTGCATATCCAGAAAAGGTTGTTTTGTATTAACTGTAAGATCACATTTCAGAGGATAACATGACTAACTGAGGGAATTATGAAGCATCGGACAAACCTGGGATAGAGCGGTAAAAAGCATCAACTACGTGTTCCTTGTTTTTCACAAGATAAGCAGCTTGACCAGAATATGCAAGCAGGAGGCAAGGGAAAACTACTACCGTAAAAGCAAGTTGAATGGCCGAAACAGGGAAATGGGCTAGATCAGCAAAAAGTGCCTCGGTACCTGAAATTGTTCATGAATCAGAATCAGGATACCAACTCTAATCGCAGCAATACTTCCAACAACTCAATCGGCACTGGATAATATAATCTTGAAGTTCAGGCAACTTGGAAATGTTGAGAGGCAATATTACCTGTAATACTAAGCATGATCCCTCCAAGAGACATAAACCCGTCTCTGCCTCCCCTTTTAAGATATCGGTAAACATACACAGGCGAAAAGGCTTTAAGAACACTTGCATCATATTTGCATATGTTGTATATGCCAATACTCCCAATTAACAGAAACCAAAGAAGGACGATGGGAGCAAAGAGCCAGCCAACTTTATCGGTCCCGTAATGTTGCATGCTGAAGAGACATACTAATATTACAACAGCAACCACTATGACGACATCTGCAACAAGAAAAATAGGAATAACTAGCTGTTACTGATAAATGGATTTCAGACAAGAATGCATAACTGGGTCGCTCTTCAAATGTGAATGCATATGCAAATGTTTGTTCACTAAGATAAATACCCCCACTCATTCCTGGCTTGTTCACCTTGATCCCTCCAGCGGCAGAAAGAACTGCAAGACATGGAGCAAAGCGAATGTTATGTAAATATATGTTCCCCTGGGTAGAAACGTTCCAAAGAATTACACATTATAATTTTATGAGCATTTTCAAAGTGGAAAGCGAATGTTATGTAAATATATGTTCCCCTGGGTAGAAACGTTCCAAAGAATTACACATTATAATTTTATGACATTTTCAAAGTGGAACACGGACGATGCAATAGCCACACTGCAAGCTAAGAACTTAATACTCAGATTTTCTGGCGAATTTGTTGCTAACTAAGCCCCTGCTGAATTTGACTGAGGTGAGAGAGACAGACAAACTCGTAATGAAAAGCTGGGGAAGTGAATTTTGGATTCAACAAACAAGGTTAATGAGTCGTAACCTATGAAGTAAATGTTCTAGGAAATGACTAGACATCATGATAAACAAATGTGTGATTCTTCCTTGACACCAGCAACCTTGTTATAGTCAAAATGAAAGCTAACTAGATTTCTAGTTATCCCTTGTACCACATGTACATGGATTCTGCACTATTTTCCCAGATATGAAAACTAACTAGATGTACCGAAGACAGTTACTCAGATACAGCTACTCACAAAAGCAGCCGAACTGTAGGTAGACACTTGAAACTGCCGTGAGATTATCACCAAGATGGTATAAATACTACATAAAAGACAAGGGATGAACCATGAAATTAGATTGTTCCAGCCACAATCTACTAAGGAGAATCTTCTTTCAGGACATCATGTGAGAGCAGATCACACTGCAGAGAATTTGGACATGAAACTGATCAGAGAAGAGGGTAACCAGTTACCAGAAATAGCAGGAGTCAAAATTCCATCGCCAATCACCATACAGGTACCGACAAGAACAAGAATAAGAAGCCCAGTCTTCCGAAATGCATAATTCTCTAACCATCGCTTAGTTTTAGCAGCAAAAGATTGTTCATGGAAAGTAGAGCGACTATAGGTTGTCAGATCCTCATCCGTCCGGTGTTGATTGGGAATCGTCTTTACTTTTGCATGTCGACAAAGTAAAGAGTACAGAGCCAGTGTACCACCTGCAGAAATGTGGAAAAGTTCAGTCTTCACCAGCTCCAGGAAATGTAACTTAACAACTTGTTCTACAAAATGCAGAGATAGAGCAAAGAACATGTAACTAAGGAGGGACGCCAGATTTACCTTGACCATTGTCATTTGCTTTGCACACAATGAAGACATACTTGAGGAGAGGGATAAGAGTAAGAGAGTATATTATAAGGGAAAGAGCTCCAATTACATCCTCCGGATCAGAGATTCCCTTGGGGAAAGTATTATAGAACACATACAATGGAGATGTGCCCAAGTCCCCATAAACAACTCCAAGACTTTGGAATGCTAGCCGAAGAAGCAGAATTGCTGAGAATTTCTGCAGTACGAAAAGGAATCAGAATCATTGCAGAAATTACCAATGATCTTGAAGACTTGAACTATGACCTCATTCCAAAAAGCGACGACCTTACCAAAGAGTTGACCCTCAACCAGAAAATTAAACAAAGGGATATAGTATTTAATTGACAATAAAGTTCCGACGACCAAAAACAAGGAGCAGGTGGAGTCCAAATTCAAGCAACAACATCAACAAAGCTCCATCATCACGAAGTAAACAAGGAAACAGTATCTTCGATCTTCAGAAAAGTTAAGAGACGCAGTACAGGGTGAAATCATGCAGGATCATACCTTTTCCCTGTAAATAGTTTTGAGCTTTCCAGCTTCTTCATCCATGGGCTGATCAAGCTTCTGATCCAAATCCCACATGCTGCCTCTGTTTGACTCGCTGTCTTCATCGATATCGTTCCTACCTTCTATCTCCATGCTAGAATTCATAGGGAACCCAAAAAAAAATCCGTTTCTAGAGACTAAAACCAGCCGCTAAGAACACCCAATGGTACGAAAACAAGGAAATCACTCCCTATTGGAAAAGCTAGACCTTTCTTGAAGTAATAAAGTAGCAGAAAACCAAGCTTGCCAAGGAACTTATTCATGAACCTGGACCCAGCGGCCTCATCTAGGGAGAGAGAAGAAGAAAATCACAAAATTAAACAACTCTTAACTTATCTACTGCCAAAGCCGAATCCAAGGTGGAAGAAGAAACAGAACCGCTCCTAAGAGCCAGAAGCGATTTAATGCTTGAAAGGTTGCAGACTGAAGAGTGTAAAAGGAAAAGAAGGTGGCAGAGAGAGGCAGAAGAAAACAAACAAATTGCCAACAGAAAGAAGAAAGAAGGAATGGAAAGTAGAGCAGAGATAGGCGATTGAGGATGGATGGATAGACACAACTCCAGCTCAATCAAACAGACTATAGCAAAGAAGAAGAAAAAAGACAACAGAATTTCCCACACATTAATTTCGCAGTGTCATCATCGCAACAATACAATTCGTCCCTTCCGTGGGGTCAATTCACCTTCTAGCCACATGAATCAGACAAAAACAACGGAACAGCTAAGCCCTCCGTCCTTGGTACAGCAAGCCAAAATCAGGTAAGAGAAGCTTTCAGCTTTCCTTCTCTCAATCACATGCCCATCAACCGGAAAACTGAGATTAGCAAAACCCAGCTCCGATTTTATTGGAAAAGGAAGCAAAAACCCAGTTACCTAGAGTTTCTTCGGGGGATTTCAGCAGGCAGCAGAGGGAGCTGAAGAAAGAGGAGAGGAGAGGAGAGGAGAGGAGAGGATAGGAGAGTAAGCAGCGGAACTATGAAGAAAAAAGTCGTCTGTTTGTGATTTGTATGTTTATTACTGTAGAGGGGGGAAACACGAGGGAGGCTGAATCTCCCACTTTGTACTGTTAGGCGGACAAAAATGGCTGCCGAACGGAGGAAAGGAAGCGGTGGTAGTACAATGACATAAGCAGCAGCAGCATCAAACTGTGAATTGGTTGCTTATTTTATTACCATTATTAAGTAAAATAAATAAATAAATGAAAAACACGCTTGTCGAATTGTAATTGTAAACAAATTTCCTATGTTGAACTTGTTTCTTTGGCAAGGCAAATCCATTCTTTTATTTTCTTCTTTCCCGGTTTGTTGTTTCCTTTAACAGTGGGTTTCTTTCTTGTGGCTGCTCCGGTGACGAAAGTTTCACTGGAAAACAAAACAAGAAGATCAGAAGAAAAGAAAAAACAATTTCACCTTTTTCATTTGCTGCAAAAAGAAGAAGAATGAGGAGCCAATAGGGTGCTAAAAGTTATACAAGCGTATTTTATGTTTTATGTATAATGATTTCGAGTTTTGATTTCACGAAAATGTAATGCCACAGTATAATTGTTGGTAGTGTGATATCATATGAAAATACGAGGACGTCTATGAACTATGTTGTACCTTTTATTCTTTTATTATTTATACATCCGACATACAACTATAAATTGAGAATGATTATGAGAAATTCATACATGCTAAATAAATAGTTTGTAAGCTCTAAATCCAACATTTATAAACGTTTATAAGGTTCTAAAATTATTTATTAAAATTTTACGATGTCTTTATTTACCGTTACACAACAACAACGAGGTAGTGTGTGCATTTGATATCCAACTTGTAATTAGTTGTAACCCGTTGCACCATATCATTATTTACATACCGTTTGGTATAAATGAATTCCATAAATTTTAAGAAATTGATTTTGAAATGAAATATTTTTGTGTTTGGTATTCAAACGAATTCATTTTCAATTCTAAATTTTGAATTCTATGGAATTGGAACTATTTATAGCAATTCCGAGGAATTGAGATGGAATTTCCAAATGAATTCCACAAGTATTTTACTAATTATAACATAATGATATAATTATCCTATTTTATTAACTAAATTACTTATTCCTATGGCATACCAAACACAAAAATTCATTTGACAATGAATTCTACAAACAATTCATAGTATATTTGAAGATTTGAATATGACATACCAAACAAAAGATTTCATTTGATAATGAATTCTACACGGTAATTCATTTTACAATGAAATGAATTCTCGATTCATTCGATACCAAACGGTCTGTTAGTACCGATTATTAAAAATTATTCATGAGAATTCTAATGGAAATGTGGGTTTTAAAAATTGTTAAGTGGTCAACTACCTTTTTTTTGGTAGAGATTAGCCATGTGAAACCTCCTTCAATAATGAAAATTAGATGCTGCATTACTTTGTTTCTGAATGTTTAGTACAAATTAAGTTGGCACAGTACGGAAAATTAATAGAAAAAAACGTTAACGACCAAGTTCCGAGAATAATACGAAAGGATATTCTGCTAAGTGCTAATACAAATTAAACATTTTAGTTGTAAGAACTAAGAACATTATTAAAACGGGATTAACATCAGTATCTAAAGTTGTAATAGACAAATCAATGAGATGGTATTTGAGTGAAAATATTTTGATCGAACCGATAGCATATCGATACCGTTGTTAATATAAAATATCCAACTAGCATTATATCTTGTACTACACCAAAAAATTCAATTGTTATTATCGGGATCGTCTATTTTACTAAGTAAGTCCCGTCGGTATGGTACATAATATTTTTGTACCGTAATAGTCCGGATGATGGTAGATAATTTTTACCGTCTGATTTGCGGCAAGATAGAAATTAGCAATCCTTGATTAATCTTTGCTTGAATCCTATATAATAATATATAACAATAGTTAGTGGTGATAGTCGGATCGGTTAGCGATTAACCATTAACCGTCAAACTACTTCTACTCATGCAACTTGCCTATTCTATTGCATTAAGAAACTTTGTTGGAGGATTGTTCATATGATTGAAAGCGAGATCTATAAGGAATTCTTTTGTTTTAAAAAGTGGGGATCTTGGGAGGCACTTCGATTGTACCAGACTGCCAGTCGTGATTCATTAATCTATGAAACACCATGGAACAATTAATTAGTTCAATTTGGACGATTGCCAATGATAAACTTTTTTTGTGGGTCAGTAGTGCATCATAAAACAATTACATAGTGGGTCACTGCTGCTGATTAGTTATGCAATCAATCACCTAACCTTGAGATCTTTTTGTATTTCATGGATCTTTATTGCCAACAATCAAGTGTTCAGCTTTCTTTGATTTGTTTGGCAAGATTGTTATAAGATTTATATTTCTGGTTTGTATTCAGAGAGAATACATGTATTGTTTGTTTAATGTAACATAGCGTACAATTTCAATGTTTAGTTCAGATGGTTGAGATTTGAGACTGTTGAGTTGAGACTGTTGAGTTGTTTTTCGATAAAACTTTAACTTTTAAAAATTACATTTTGTCTAGAAAATAAGATGTACAAGTGACATTTCCGTTAACAAATTTTCATTTTTATTACTAAAAATGCAATCACATATATCAAACGTTGTAATTTACAATATACTAAAAATGCAACCATCATCAAATCTATCCCTAGTCGTCTCAAATCGTCGATCAATGGATTTGTATGCATCCCATCCATCTCTCCGTATAGTGCTTTGTTTGAGAATTAAGCGAGTGACAATCGTCGATTCCAAAGGTGAGTGGAAGGGCTGATTGGAGAAGAAACTTCAATGTCGAACCTTTTCCATACGAAATCGATGGTGATGGAAGGAGAGTGACGGATGATTCCAGTGGTTAATGATAGCTAATCACCCTCTCCATCCTCCTCGTTCTATATTCTTCTCGGCGGCGAATGAAGAGGAAGGAGGTATAGTTTGACAACAGCGGCGTCGATCGATGGATAGTACGAGACCCGGATCGACGAAGCGACTCCCATGAATCAAATGTGGTAATGGTGGGTTTTTTATTTTTTAATCTGAGTTTTGAAATGCTAGCTAACCACCTATTTTATTTTTGGGCACCTAGTCATCCAATTCCCTTTCAAAATGTCAATCAGAGGCGGAGGATGGGAGGCAACCATCCAAACCAGAAGAGAACTGGGAAGTTCAGTTGAAGACGAGGCCATGAATGAACAGAGGGAAAGGAGGTCTAGATTGACGATGGCGAGACAGTGGTGCCGACCGTGGGTGGTAGAAGACACAGGCTGAAAGAAAGAAGATTTTTGGATCGTCGAGCCAAGGAGTTGCAACCAACCCTAAGCCGCAACTGGCCGTGAAAGAAGCTCCTAGACCCGCGGCAAGGGCTGATGGTGCAAATCCATTTATGAAGCAAGGTGGATTGTCGGGGGAAATTCGTTGTTTCAAATGCCATGGAAGAGGACACAATGCGAGCTAGTGTGCCAATAAGAAGACCCTGATCTTGCTTGATAATGGCGAGTATGTATCGGAGGAAGAGGAAGAGACCACCGATTCTGATGTCGATGAGTCTATGGAAATGGAACCACCTCTAGGCAGTTTGTTTGTAGCACGGAGAGTATTGTCTGCGCAGCCTAAGGAGGAGAGTGAACAGCGAGAAAATATCTTCCATACGAGATGTGTAGTTGATGGGAAGTTTCTGTCTCTAGTGATCGATGGACGAAGTTGCACGAACGTTGTGAGCGCGTGTGCGGTGAAGAGGCTAGGGCTGCCTACGTTGAAGAATCCAAAGCCATACACGCTGCAATGGCTTAACGATCACGGATCCATCAAAGTCACAAAGCAGGCACTAATGAAGTTCGAGATTGGAGATTACAAAGATGAGATTTTGTGTGATATAATGCCTATGCAAGCTACACATGTGCTTTTTGGCAGGCCATGGCAGTTTGATCGACAAGCACAGCATGATGGAGTGACAAATAAGTACAAGTTGCAACATGGAGGAAAGAAGTTCGTGTTGAAGATTCTGTCTCCAAGTGAAGTATATCGAGATCAACTCCAAATGCAGCAACGCCGAGAGCAAGAAAAGGCAAGTAATGCATCGGCTAAGAAAGGAGAAGAGGGAGCTGGAATTGTAGATTCGAAGCAGTGATGCTAGCACGCAGTGGAGATTTGAAGCAAGCTTCCTGTGCACGAGAACCTTTGATTGTGCTCAGGTATAGGGACGTGCTTCTCAATCAAGAGCTAGTACAAGAAGTTCCAGCCGAAGCAAGAGTGGTGTTGGATGAGTTCGAAGATGTGTTTCCAGAGGAAGCACCAAAGGGGCTGCCTCCTATTCGCGGGATTGAGCACCAGATTGATTTCGTGCCGGGAGCTCAAATTCCAAACAAGGCAGCATATCGAGCTAATCCAGAAGAGACCAAAGAGCTGCAAAGGCAGATTGACGAGCTCATGGAGAAGGGGCATGTTCGAGAAAGTTTGAGCCCGTGTGCAGTTCCGGTGATTCTCGTGCCAAAGAAGGATCACACCTGGCGGATGTGTGTAGACTGCCGAGCCATCAATCAAATTACAGTTAAGTATCGTCATCCAATTCCATGATTAGATGATATGCTTGATGAATTCCATGGCTCTATGGTGTTTTCCAAGATTGATTTGAGATCAGGTTACCACCAAATTCGTATGAAGGAGGGAGACGAGTGGAAGACTGCGTTTAAGACCAAGCAGGGTCTATACGAATGGATGGTGATGCCCTTTGGTTTAACCAATGCTCCTAGCACGTTCATGAGGCTGACGAACCATGTTTTGAGGCCATTCATTGGCAAGTTCGTGGTCGTATACTTCGACGACATTCTGATCTACTCGAAGTGCATGGAGGATAATCTCAATCACTTGAGAGAAGTGTTGGCGATGTTGAGAAAGGAGAAATTTTATGCTAACCTCAATAAGTGCTCGTTTTGCACTTCTAGTGTTATTTTCCTTGGTTTTGTGGTGAGTGCAGATGGAGTCAAGGTGGACGAAGAGAAAGTGAAAGCAATTCGCGATTGGCCTATTCCAACCAACGTGAATGAGGTGCGGAGCTTTCATGGGCTTGCTGGGTTCTATCGTCGATTTGTGCCC